TCTCCTAAATACTCGCCTGCCACCATCATTTCTTGATGTCCCTATTGGCCGTTCCCATAACAGAGCTGGTGCTTTCAAAAGAATTTCCCCTTATCCCTGATATTTTCCCCCTCTTTGACACTCTCCAGCAGCCGTTTGCAGACACATCGCAGCGCGAGCCCCCGCTGCTCAGTCCCCACAGGTTTCTTGCTGCACTTGCTGTGGACACAGAGGAGTTGTCCAGGCCTCCTGCATGGCTTATTTTCCACACCTTTTCATGCTCAATGCGATTAGAAGCGGCTATGAATATCATACACCTGATGCTCATAGTGCCGCTTTCCCGGCTGTTTTTCTACATGCAGTGTATTTGAGGTGGAAGAGGCTTGTAAAAAAGGATGAAGGATTATAGATGAGAGTCGCTTTTGCACAAATTCTTACCAACACCACTGCCTGATGGGGAAATACTAAAGGATGCTAAATCTGAAACGGTGGTGGGACTCAGGAACAGCCCAGATGGATGTAATGTGCGGAGAGACGCACAGGATTCATCCTGCCACAGTCAGCACATCCCACTGGGCCAGAATTCAGCTCAAAACCCGGCCACACTCCGCACCAGCTGTGCACAACAGCCACCACCAGCACAGACCAGCAGGGCCGCTGGGATAACCCAGAGGTAGGGACATTCAGACCCAAACCGCCCCCATTGCTACATTCACCACCAAAACTCACCCCAGGGCTCCGTGCAGAGTTAAGGTTGATGGTGAGACCTCGAGCCCCTCCAGGACCAGGAGTTTGTGAGCACACGTTGGCAGGAAGGCAGAATCATTGCTACCAGGCTGATGGGGACAGTCCCCATTCGTGGATTCCTCACCTTCTTCTGCTCCATCATTAGTCTTAACCCCCTGAAAGCCATCTCTGGCCAGGACACATCTCTCCTGGCCCTGGTCCCCCACAATCACCCTTTGCTTCGCCCTCCACAACCTGCTAGGACGCAGCTACCGCCCTCAGGAAGGTTTGCCAAAGCCACGTCCCCAGCAGCCCCCACCTCCGAGGGGAGAGGGCATCTCTGGAGCCAGAGCTGGACCCTCTTCAACCCATTTTCCCTGGCGAAGCTCAGCCAAGTAAGTTCAAGAATTCAAGCCTCTCTAGGGCAGGAGCATCCTCAGGGCATGTCATCGCAGGGCATGGACAGTAATCCTACCCTTGGACACACGGGTAGTTTGATAATTAGCAGGCAAGGATTTATACCGGCCCCAAACCTCTGCTTATGTGGCATTTTTCAGCACCAACAGTGAAGCCCCTGGCAGCCCCCCGTGGAGCGAGGGGAGGAAAAGCAGCGGGGGCAGCTTGCTGGGCCGCAGAGCCCCCTCCGGCAAAGCAGCTTTCTTGCTCTCCAGGGTGAACCGTGCCCTTTCCTCTAGCCGCTGTGATTTTTCCTCATCTCAGAGGATTTAAAATTTCCTAAATCACTCAATGTGAACCACCTCTGCCACCACCAATTTTTTTTTTTGTTGCCTGGTGGATCAACACAGAAGTTTCCTATTAGAAATGACTAATAATGACTTTACCAGGGCTCCTGGCCCGACCTGCCGGGCAGTCTGACAGAGGGCAAACGGATGGTGCCAGGAAGCTGCAGCCTTAAGAAAAAGGTAAAAAAAAAAAAAAAAAAAAAAAAA